CMWTYTACTGTTTGCATCTCAATCTGCTCCTTTAAGGTGTTTTACACCGAAAGTMCTTGGTTTAGCCTGTCTGAATCCATTGATTATTTCTGATTTTCTGCTTTGCTCTGTCCTTGTTTGTATYCAGCCTGTAATACCAGTCTTCATTGTTCATTTGTTAATTTTCAGATGAACCCTTTTTGCTATCTTTTATACAGTTTCTTATGGCTGAAGGGATTTTCTACATCTATCTGCAGAACTCATTATAGTCCTTTCAAACCTTTTTCAGTACCTTTAAATCAACCTCTCCCCAAACCTTAGCAGTGCTTTTTGTTGAGACAGATGTCCATTACAGTGACTAATTTCAGTTCTTTKTTTCTGTGAATCCATATATTTCTTGTCTAGGATTCTAATGTCTCCTGGTAGAAATAAATTTTGTTCTGTTCTTACTGTRAAGCATCTAGCACAAAGAATTCCTTGTCCATGACTTCAGATCTCAAGTGCTGTAGTAATATTTGACCACCTTCTTACACTGTCAGTCTCCACTGTTATTCCATGCAACCATCTTCAAATGTGTGCAGGCTGCTTGTAAAATTCACAGCTACAAATTCCATCGTGTTAGCAATTGATTCAGAAGAGGTACCAGACATTTGTTCTTTGAATAAGAGTATAGCAATATGAGGTTTCTTCTCTATATTTGCARTCCCTCAGAGAAGTTGCTTTTACCATTTCTGTGATGGTGGCTTCAGTTCCAGAAAAGTCACCCTGAGGATGTTTTTCTCATGCTGCCTCTGTTGGGTGTTCAGTGGTTACTCTGTAATCTCAAGTAATGATCTTTCATTAGGACTTGTCCCATAAAAATTACCTTTYCCATGGGATTTGAGAGGGGAAGAAAAGCACAGTGATGGTGATTGGTTGTATGCTGAGTCCCATCAATATGTATGTGTAAAATGAAGAAACTGAGGAAAATCTAGAAAGCAGAAAGAGAGACACCTAAATTAAAAAATAAAATTTTAAAAAATATTAAAAAATAAAATTTAAAAATAAAATTTTTAAAAAGTGAGAGAGAAAAACTCTTAAGCTCTCTCCTTCCTGAACAGGAGCAGATCTCTCAGCTTCTGTGGAATTATGTGAAGGAATGCAGATTGATAATATTTACACCTAGGGCACATCATCATGTTTATGTGTTTTAGTATCTAAAAATAAGGACAGTGGGTAATGTAAACAGGTAGCTATGAACTGGAATTGGTGTTCAGAAATAAAAYAAATCTTGTGGATATTTCCATTCTGCCAAAACAAATTCCTGGCAACAGACAAAGAAATATTTTTTGTCCTTCAATCCTCATTAAATASTGGAAGAAGCACAAGGATCACCAAACTATGATGGCATTTGTTCAGAAGCAAAGCTGTTGCTGTGAATTCCGTGATGAGAAAGAAGTCTGGGGAACAAGCATGTTGCATTGCTTTGTGTTCTCTAGCTGAAGTGGGTAAGAATAAGAATATGGAACTTGGTCTTCTTTTGAGAAGAATTTAGTCTGAAGTTTTTCTATTTTTTAAGTGAAGTATCTTCCAGTGCATGGTTGAAGGAGTCTTGAATTCAGAAGGTCTGTGGAACATTGAGTTGTCTCTGGCAACATACATACATAACATACTTCTAGTTATATGAAAGGAGTAGCTACTCTATTTTTTGACTACTTATTTTGTTGATTTAATGGATTATTAAAGCCCTGCTCATTATTAAGATTATTAAAGTGGTGTGGGAGGGGAATGAGCAGACTGTTACAAGAACCTGATTTGTTTAGGCTGAAGAGCARCTTAGGACAACAAAAATGTTGCATAATAAGATTTTCATCTTTTTTCTGCACTGCAAAAAAATTAATGAGACTTTCAAGTTGTAGGTGAAATCCTGTTCCTGAACTGATGGGATTGAGTGAAACAGAACTTTAGGAGTCAAGAAGGGGAAGACCCAAAGCTGTCAGGCTGTGAGCATGCAATACATGAGAGTGTAACAGACTTTTTTGGTAAAGTTAGGATTGTTTTGACCTTTTGATATATTGTTTTAGAAMTCCTGCTGCATTGTTAACAGACTTACCCTGAAACAGCTGCAAGGACTTTCAGTAGTTTGGCTCATTTTTTTCTTCATGTAACCGGAGACAACCTTTCCTATATGAGGCACTATTTCCCTCCAATTGGGAACGTAGCTGTAGTTTTAGTTTTWAGAAGAATTTGTGGTTTAGGAACTCTAACAAATCTTGGCATGCTTGGAGTTCATTGTAATTTTACTGTGTATAGAAATCCTTCCAAGAAAAAAGCTCCACAAAGCAAAAATCCTGCTCTGCCTTTCTCATGTGACTTTTTCATGTCTCTATAAAATGACTTAATATCWAGCTTCATGCACTGCTGTTATTTTTCATTGCTTAGCTCTCTAAATGCTGTTACTTGAGAGAATTGTTTTGCCTATTTGTGATTCCAGTACAAATAAACTGTGACTTGGAAAGCTATCAGCAGGAAGTTATCGAGAGTTTTCTGAATGCCCACTGTAATTGTGAACAGAGAGCCATAGGAATAGAGAAAATCATCTTCTTCAGGTAGAATTCACATCTATTCTTGCAAGAAATCTTTATTTCCTAAGTGGAATRTAATTATGGAGGACACCAAAGTGACTGGAAGTTTAGTAGAGGAGAGAAGTGAAAAGGAGAAGAAGTTTATGTGCTCAGCACAAAATCTGAAAAAAAGCTTAGTGTCAGTTGATAAACCACATTTGTTTCAAAAATACCATTTTTATTTCTACAAGACCCCTAAACTACTTAATTTAGGATCCATAGCTGTGATTTTTGTTTGAAAGCCAATAATGAGGTGATTTGAGGTTTATGTTCTCAAAACAGTAGCAAGTTATTTTGGGATAACAAAAGGCTGGTACAATATCATACTAAAAAAAAAATAATTATAGTTTCAGTACAATAAAAGCTTGCCATTACCTGAGCTATCCAGGGTATTTTTTTAATAACATGCCTTGGTTTGGCAAAGATATCATGTATTGTTTTGTTAGTCTTCCCTTTGTACTCTC